TGTTGCTCTCTCCTGGCTGCCAGTGCTTGAGAGGATTGCCTCTGGTCCAGGAGCCAGCCTTGCCCTCATGGATAAGGACCCATATGTGCAGTAGAAGGATCTGTCCTGTGTGCTCTGCTGCTTGTGAAGTCCAAGGTGACTTCAGGATGAAGATAATGAGTTACCCCTGTACTTGGGCCTCAAAGTAAGATGGAATAAGTTAGGCAAACACTCCTTGAGTAATTAACATGTGAAGAGATAAGCGGGTGTCCCCAAAATAATAGAGACAGGCAGAGAGTGAAGGCAGAGAGTTCAAATGAGAAGGCGGGATCTTTGTTTGTTTGTTTGCTTGTTTGTTTGTATTTACAAAATACAGATTTTACGTGCCCATTTCGAAATGATTTTATGTTGTGATCAGGGTATTTAGCCTTTGTATAATAGTTCAGTTGCTTGTGTCATTTGGATAGTAACTATCATCAACTGATCAGCTCTTGAAGTATTTGTGTTGAACACTGAAGGATATTTCAGGTTTGTCCTGATAATCTGTCCTAATCATATAACCAGACTTTCTCCTACTAGCATCCCTTTTATTGCAGATTGCTGGTCAAGACAAGATCTGTGAGCTATAAGTGTTTCTTGGCAATGAAATTGTTTTGCTTATAAGCCCTCTTGGCAAACAGATCACAGACAAATGCACAGCTATAATTTTTCATATAACCATCTGTATCTAAATTTAGCTAAAAATTCCTTCACATATCCTTAATACTTATCAATCACTGCCTTTCATCCAGCCCCACCCAGTGCACTAGGAAGAAACCTGACTTCAGTAAACTCAGCCATGTACATAATGTTTCTTCCACAGGACAAATATCAGTAGGACCCAGAATTTACTGTGGCACCTGTGTCATGTGTCTGACATCTAAACAGTCCTCATGTGCAGGTCTCACCTTAACAAGTTGCCTAAGGCTGTATTCCTGCCCTATGTCTACCTCCCATAGCTGCATCGTGACATACTTGTAAGACAGGTCTGGTCCTCTCATTAGAATCGGCATTGCTTCGTAACACCTCCATACACTTACATGTTATTAATGATATTAATACAGTTCCGTTTCCTTAACAAATCTAGGCTTTTGATGTTAATAATTTCCTCTGTAAATTTTGATAATTTTCAATTGTTGAAGAAGTTGGTTACGTTCACTAAGGTGTGAAGTTTTGGAGACACTGAGAAGCTAGTTTTTCACAAGCTCACTGGTGCAGTGAGAATGGTCTCTCTTTTTATTTTGGTTGATAACTTATGATAGAGATATAAATTAACATGCATGTATCTTTTCAACTGTCAAAACTTATTGAATACTAATAAATTCCAAGGTAATATTAGCAGCAGATTGACAAAAACTCTCCTTTATTGGTTTGAGTAATATTGGCTGCCATTGACTCATACATTTGGGTGCTGAATAACTAGGGAATAATATGATTTGAAAGGATTAGAAAGGTTTGAAGGTATGGCCTTATGGAAGTGGGCATGACCCTGCTGAAAAGTGTATCACTGGGGATGAGCTTTGAGATTTCAAAATCCTATACCAGGCCCAGGTTCTCTTTCTCTGCCTATGGATCAAGCATACTGTTCCAGCACCTGCCTGCATTCCACCATGCTTCCTGTCATGGGTAACAGACTAAACCTGTGAAACTTAAGCAAGTCCCCAACTAAATGCTTTCTTTCATAAATCTCCTCACTCAGGATTTCTCTTTATAGCAATGGAACAATGACTAAGAAGTCCTCTTTCCTTGAAAGTCAGGGCTAAGTTTGGATGTCCACCTTCCTAGACCAAGATGGAGCGGGGAGGACTTTGGACTAGGGAACCCTGACTGCCCCTCAGACTGGAGAGGGAGGTGGAGAGGAGTGGGGGAGAGGGGGAGAGGAGAGGGAGGAGGGGGGAAAAGGGAGACGGGGAGGGAAATGGGAGGCGGGGAGGAGGTGGAAATCTTTTTTTTTTTTTTCAATAAAAAAATTACATTAAAAAAAAGAAAGTCAGGGCTACATGAACGCATAATCTTTTATTCCAATTATCAGTTACTAATGTCTGCAATAAACTACCATGACAAAAAACTGCTTGTGAAAAAAAGAGGTTATTTCTATTATATATCCACATTGCAGCTCATTTTCAAATGCAGTCATGGCAGGAGCTGTGTTTGAGGTACTGATGAAGAAGTCATGGTGGAACACAGCTATCTGGCTTGCTCCTCATGCCTGTCTGAGCCTGCTTCCTTATACAACTCAGGACGAGCAGTCCAGAGATGGCACTGTCTACAGTGAGCTATGCACTCTCTCATCAAGAAAATGTACCAAAGGCTTTCCCAACTGGCCAATTTTGGGGGGGTCCTTTTCTTAATTGAGGTTCTGTAGTCAGCGTACCATCTCTCTTTATATGTTTTCTTCCAATAGATCTACTGCTGTGCAATTTTGTCTTAAATCATTCTAGCATATGATTAGTTTTGTTGTTTACTTTTTCTCTGCAAACTATGCTATTATTTTCTTCTTGTTTTTTATATTTATTTATATTTATTGTCTTATATATTTAAAATAGAAGGGGCATAACTGATTGAAGCAGAGGCATACAGTTAAATAGGTGATCTCTTTTTGTGACTGGTTCACTCAATATGTAGGCCATACTGGCTTCAAACTCAGTGATCCTCCTGCCTACATCTTCGAAGTACTTTGATTGAAGGTATGTGCCACCACACCCAGAATAAATAGATCATATTGTTTTCAATTTGTGTGTGATGTGTGAAGACTGTACTTGTACATGTATGCATGCGATAGAATATATATGGAGGCTGGAGAACAACTTTAGGGATTGGTCCTTGCCTTTCATCTTGTTTTGAGACAGAGTCTCTCTTTAGTTGTTTGTCACTGTGTACCCTATGCTACACAGCCCATGTGTTTGCAGAGATGCTCCTTTCTCCACCTCCCATCTCACGAGAACAACAACGGCATTGCAGGCTAAATGCAGTTACTAAAATGAAATACTAAGAGAGAAACCCTTCTAAAAATAACATTGTGAAAAGAAAGTGGTACTTGCTGAACCAAGTGCCAAGAATTTTAAACAACTGTAATGTAACAATGTCCTGAATAACCATGCTTTATAAATATTAACCATACGCAAAACCAGTTAATAGGTAGATTTCATTCAAGACGTAGAACAAAGCTCCAATTTAGGATTCAAACAAATTGAACTAATGGCTCAAGAGTCATTTTTATGAAAATGCACTGTTCTTACAAAATGAATGAGTTGCTGACTTACAATGATTGCCTGAGAAAATAAAGATTCTTCAGGAAGAGTTGGCTGATCATTGCTTTAAGATATCCCTCTGAAATAAACTTCTTAATCCGCATTCTAAATCTACTATAAATTGGTTGTAAATTGGAAAAACAAGCACATTCTACCTTCCATATTTTTAAATGTGAGTGCTTGGCATTTTTTTCAATATTACACATTTCCAGATGGGGATAGCAAATATTTTTCCAGGGTTTTACTTTGTTTCTTAGAAATCATTTTTTTATACTTAGGATAATTGGTTGTAGTTATTAAATAAAAATATTGTCCTGCTTTAATTTATGGATCTTGTGTCCTCATTAAAAGCATTTCTGTCCCTTAAGGCTATGAACAAATTACTAATCGTCTTATAAACTATTTCCTCATTCAGAGAGTTCATTCATCCAAATCTGAAAGGAACATTGATCTTTTATTTTATAATTAACCGTAATTATGCTCATTGCTACACAGATTCTCTTAACTTACATAATCTCTGAGATATGTTCTTCTTTAATATTTTATTGAATTAAATTAATAAAATCCATATTACTTTATTGTTTATTAAGAAAACTTTTTAAAAAATTAACCCAGTCCATTTTTCTAATATATTTATGATTTTGTTTCTGTATAGTTATTTAATTAGGCTTTTAAAAAATAAGACTAAAGCAAATTTACTCTATTTTTACAAATAGCAGGTGACCCACTTCCTCTTGCTGCATCCCATGTTTTTCCTTCAGACAATGCTACATGTACTTGTTTATCATGTAATAAAAGTGAACAAAATGCCCCAAATTCCTCCAGGGTTGTACGCTGTGCTATTAGCTGTACTGTGTACTTTTGAGGTTGTTTCAAAGTATAAATATTTATTACTTGCTGGGTTGTTTTCCATTATATGAAATATCAATCTTTAAAGGTAAGTTTCCAGGACCCACAAGTCCAAGGACCACCCACCTCCATCCAGGTCTAGTAAGGTGAGCATCCAAGCTGCCTAGGCTCCCACAAAGCCAATAGGTGCAGTAGGATCAAAAACCCATTGCCATTGTTCTTGAGGTCTCAGTAGTCCTCATTGTCCGCTATGTTCAGCGAGACCGGTTTTAACCCAGGCTTTTTCAGACCCAGGCCAGCTGACCTTGGTGAGTTCCCAATAGAACATCCCCATTGTCTCAGTGTGTGGGTGCACCCCTCGCGGTCATAGGCATCCTCCTGAATATTAACCTTCATCAGGCGATGAAAGGAGACAGAGACAGAGACCCACGTTGGAGCACCTGACTGAAATCTCAAGGTCCAAATCAGGAGCAGAAGGAGAGAAAGCACGAGCAAGCTTTACTTTTGGATTCTTTTTTCCCTCCTTCCTTGTGGTCACACTGTATCCCTTGTCTATTGTTCCCAAGTCATTCCTGGATTTTGTGTAAATATAAGCCTCTAAAGAGATGCTACCAATTGGTTAGAGATAAACTCTTGAGTTAAAACATAAGGGCCGTTTTTTTTTCTTGATATCTGTTTCCGTTCTTATACTTCTGAGAGAGAGAGAGAGAGAGAGAGAGAGAGAGAGAGAGAGAGAGAGAGAGAGAGAGATGAGATGAGATGAGATGCATAGCCTTTCTATCGTTCTTCTGGGAATCTTCAGTGCCTAGCCCTGGTATGGTATTACTAGTCGCCCTTCATCATGTACCCACCGCTCACAACTCTGCATGTGATTTCCTACAGTACTCAAAGGTGGACAGGCATCCTGTGACTGCACTGGAGAAAATAATGGAGTCAAGCTTTGTGGGTCCCCAGTCATTCCCCGAGGTCCCTTCTCCTGACAGAGGAAGCCAGCCTGTCAAGCACCACAGGTACTGCTAACTAATCATGGTGGGAGTGGGTGAGTTCACCTTAAAAGTAGACACAAGCCAGGGAATGGCTACAGGACCCACAAGTCCAGAAAAGGTAACTGATCTTGCTTCTAATATGGGTGAGGATTTCCACGCAGGGAGTGTTCAGGCAGTTCACAGCCAGGAAGCAAATTCTTCAGTTTTCCTCAGCAGTATCACCTTCCCTACAAAAACATAAAGGAGCTTTCTTCAGAGCTGCAGCTATAGACCATTAAATGAAGCAATTGCACTGTGAAAATCTATTAAAAGTGTGATTTTTTTTCTGCCTAGCTTGCTTGGTCACTGGTTACAAAGCTAATGTCTAATTCTACTCTAGGCAGCTGGTGTGACATGTGCCAATGTTCCAAATGTTCCTCACAAAAGAAAAGTTTCCAGAGGCAAATCCTGCAGAGTATGCTCTTTGAGCCGGCAATATATTCTGTTATCAGAGAAGCTCCATCCTTTAGTGTGTGTGAGCTGATCATAGAAACTATTTCTTTGGGGGTGAAGGCCAGCTACAAAGTCATTTGTTGCCTCACAGGAAATTCTCATGCTGGGCATGTTCTCCAAAATCTTTTCATCCACATGGTTGTGTGTTCTATGTGAGGAATTTATTTTTAAAAATTGATGATATTTAGTCTAAACCAAAAGATAAAATTGAAACTAATACTAGAATAGACACTCTGTCTGTGTGTACTAAAATGAACATTTGTAATCTGAAAAAGGGACCCAAAGACTGAATATTCATTTTCTTAGTGATAAGCAGTTTTTATATTTTCAAATCATACATTTATATCATATTATATATATATATATATTAAACTTTTAAATGTTATATCAATTGTTTCTAGCAATAGATGATAGTGTTCATCTTGTACATTAGCAAGAGAGAAATACACAATGAAAGAGCTGACTTCCTACTTTCCTCCCCCAAAGACTATACTTTTCTGACTAAATTTCCTATGAGATTTTCAGTTATTCTAATACTGAGCTCACTAAACCGCAGAAGCTGATGGTGATGTTGATTCCCATACCTCTTTAGTAGATAGATTCTAGGGTACCAAGGATTTGACAAAGAAAAGAATTTCAGTATCTTTAGTTTAGGATTGAAATAATTTGGCGTCTGGGTAGTTACATCAGTTCTTATTGGCAAGTCTGTGGTATGTCATAGCTTGCATTTTCGGAATTCCTGTTAAAGCAGCCTTTTACTTCACTTGACCTCAAGCAAGCTGCCTTAATTAGAGAAGTGACATCCAAAATTGCTCACCTTTTATAGGGCAAATAGTTTCTCAAAAACGGTATCATCCCATGCTTATTTTATAATGTATTATAGTAGCTATATACCCTGTCAAGAAAAATTGTATAATATTACTCTGCAACATATTATGACAAAAATATTTTGAACTTGAGAGTTTTAAATAATGGCTTCTGCTATGTTAGAACTACAGCACCACTGTGCCCAGTAAATTTTTTTTCAGTCTCTCATTCTTAGCTTTGATCTTGGTTTCTATATCTCCAAGATGAAATGAGGGTATCTTTAAAGGCCCTTCCTTTTGTTTTCTGTTTTGTTTTGTCTTGTTGCTTCAGTGACATTGCAGTATCTGTTGACATAGCTTGTCTTCTGATAGATGGGGAAGGGTTGATTTATGAAGTGCCTTTAGAACTTGAAATTATAGTTTAATGCATCATAGCTTTTGTTTTTTAAAACATACAATAGACAGAACAGTTTCGTGATTGATAACCTGTATACTGATTTATATATCCTTCCAACTGCTCCATAATTTCCTGAATGCCCCTCAGTTAGAAGGCCTGAATCTCTGATTGATCAATAGGTTTACAACTGATTTTGAAGATGGGTCACTACTTCATACTGGTAGACCTTGTTTTGACAGTTCAGCAAGCTATGAATAATTAATTTCTTGTTGTGCACTGAAAATATGACTCCTTTAGATGCCTTATTTATGAAACAAAGCTATTAATCCAAAACTGTTATTTCTAATGTTTAATTAAAAAAAACTACCTGTTGAAAAAAATATTTGAGACATGTTATTTTAGTGAGTTATATCTTGGCAATCTAACTTCCTCACAATGGCATCAGTATCAGTTGCCAACAGCCATGGGAGCCCAGAGCTTTCAGTGAAACAGATAAGCCTTTGCATTGCCAGTTATGGCATAGTAACGTATATAATACATGGTATTGTGAACCTCACATGTTTTGACCTCACAGGACACTTAGCATACTTGAACTCTTTCATCTCGGGTGTGAGACCACACACATACCTTGCTTTGGCCTGTTCCCTCCCCATTCTCACCCAAGTCACTTTATCTGAACAGCTTATGTACCAGGTGAGCTCCAGTCTTCCCTGTTTTCTGGCTTCTGGTCTAGCAGAAGTACTGGCGAGGGAGGAAAGGACTGGGAAAATGAGGTCATAGTCCTTCCATTCCCATCCTCAGTTATGTCCCACTCTGGTCTTCTGGGGCCACAGAACCTGCCACCTGACTTGGTCCTTCCAACACTACCTCTATTCTGGAAAATGTTCCCTCTCCTTGATAGGATTGGTTTCCTATTGTTAGTGGTCTGAGGGGCAACAATTTCTTCTGCAGCTTCATCTCTGTTCCTCCCATGTAATGGCTGCTGACCACGCCTCTTATAATCTCCTCAACTGGTCCAAGTTAAAGACGTTTTGATTTCCATCCAGAATTCGGACACAATTATCTTCCCTAGCGTCATGCTTCTAGCAATGTAGGGACCTGAGATTTACATCCAGATGCAGCTCACTCTGGTGCCAGATCTCCCAAACCCTAGATCCTAAATCATGTGGGATTAGACAGAAGTGAAAGTACAGTAACAAAGTCACTGTTCAAGAGCTCCCTAAAGATGTTGACGTAGAGATTGAATGTGATGACCATGTTGTTAAGCATTTCAGGAATTCAACCTACAGCAGATGACATGGCTAAGAACTTAAATATCATGAATGACATGATTTTCTGTCTGTACAAAACTGAGAAATTAATGTGGACCTGCCACCTTACCAGAACCACCAAGATGACCGTTAGCACTCAAATATCAATTTCTCAAACTTCCAGTTAAAATATTTGCCAAATTTGCCAGGTATGGCAGTGCATTTCATCAATCCCAGCACTCAGGAGACATAGATAGGCTGAACTGTGTGAATTCAAGGCCAGCCAGGTCTACATAGCAAATTTCAGTCAGCCAAAGCTACATAGTGATTCCCTAAAATCAATGCCCCTTCTTTTTAATAAACACATCTTATATGTATAAAATAGCAATAATGGTAATATTGATGGAAGAAGTGAAAAACCCCAAATGGTAGAACAATAGGGGTATAAAGGCTTTGGCAGGCTTTCCCTCATGGGTACACTGCTGAGTTTTGAATATTTTCATCCTGGCCTATAGAGTTGCAGTGATATTTTTAGATTATGTGAATGCAGCATGAGATTTTAAGCTCACTGTATGCTCATGACCTGTCTTCTCATAGAACACTAAAGTTTGAACATAGGCAACTCTCTCAGTAATATGGGAAAGGGAATTGATAAAGAATCTTTCATCAACGTCAACTTGTCAATTTATCTTCATAGAACCCAGTTCTTTTAATATAGTCTATGTATATGGGCTCACTTTGCTAAGGCCTGGGATATAGGTCATTTATGCTTTTTGTTTGATGGCCTCTATAATGGTCATTTGGGAAGTTTGGATGCGTACATCCAAGAAAATTTAAGTAGGTGCTTATTAAAAGCAAACTCAAATGAAGACTGATGAAAACCTGGGAAGGTAAACTGAGAATTTAACACATGTTTGAAAAAATATTGTCAATTAAAATAAGGACTGTTTATCCTATCACTAAGAAATGGAAATTTCTCCATAAATCCCCTCTGGGCTTCCTATTTTCAGTTCTCATCACTATCTAATCAGGGCATTTCTATTCCAATTTGAAGACAGCTCCTATGGCTTGGAAAGTTAGGGTGGGGACCAAATTGTCATCCTGAGGCTGCCTTAAACCCATTTCTGTCTTAGCTAGAAAGCCAGACACAGGGAATTCTAGATCTCAGTGCCTCTAACAGTAAGTGAATTAAGCAAATTCCAAATTTAGCGGATTGTATTTTTGACATTGATAGCAGAGAACTTTAAGGATGAGAGGTATGATTTCAATGTCCGAGACATTTGAATGGCTTCTTAGAAGCTCTTATAATCTCTTTGCTTCATTGGTTTTGTTTCCCCAACTCAGCAGGAATATTTCTTCTTGCTGCAGTCCAGGACAAAGGAGTGGGATGCTGCACAGGAATACCTTCAGGAGGACACCACCCTCACCCCGAAGCCGACTGGGTGGGATTGTAGGACCAGCATATCAGCAACTGGAAGAATCAAGGATCCCAGACCAGGATACAACACCTTGCCAAGGGTAGGTCTTTTAGGGACTTACTAGGGAGACTGTTAGAAGTCTGCCATTAGGTTAGTAAATAACTGTTTAAAAAAAATCATTCTTAGGAAGAACAAAGTATCCTTTCATCAATAATATAAAAAATATATTAGCCATGTGGTGGTGGTGCACGATTTTAATCTCAGAACTTGAGAGGAAGAGACAGGCAGATCTCTGTGAGGGTGAGGCAGGCCTGATCAACAGAGAGAGTTCCAGAACTGACTCCAAAGTTACAGAGAAACCCTGCCTTGAAAAATAAAAACAAACAAACATATATATGTGTATATATATGTGTGTGTTTTATATTCATTGACTTCTGATTAACAGTGTGAATCAAACCCTAAAAATTAGCCTGTAACATAAATATATCTACTTCCATCCAGTATTCTTGAATGTGAGGTTTAAGTAAAATATTAAAAGAAGAAAACCCCAGAGAAACCTTTAGAACTGAAACGTCTTCATTATTTGCACTATGGAGGTATCAGGGATTTGGACACCATAGTTATTGCCTACAGTACAAAGGTACCAGGTCGTCTAGGAAGTACCAACATACATAGGGCTCAAGGTATACTGAGCGGAATGCAAGATAGGTTCTCATCAGTCACACATGGAATAAGTAAAAGTAGCTTACCACTAAAGTTGGATCCCTGTCCTTTATGACTTGTGTCAATTTTAGAAAATGCTGTCATCTGAGCTCGAGCTTTATTTAAATATAAACCTCCCAAAGGTCGGTGGCCAGGTCAAAAAGGGAGTATTAAGAATCTATGTCAGATACATGGTATCCAGGGAAACAGTTTTTGCCATAAACAATTCTCACCATGCTATCATTAATTAAGAATTTAGATTTACTGTAGGTATTTCCATAGTCAGGCTCTAGCTGTGCCAAGTGGTTGACTTCCTGAGTGATCTAGGCTGGGTTTCTATGTAGTTTTGGTCCAGGTGATTATTTCAGATCTTTTGTTTCAATCCTGAGACCAAAGCAGGTAGGAAGTCCAGTTCAGAGCCTTGCAATTCTCCTTTCTGCTAGATATGGAATAGATGGACTGTTGCTCTGTCCGATTAAGCATGGCATGGGTTTCCTTAAGAAGAAAGGATCTTTGGAAATTGGATCCAAGTAGCCTGTGGCTTTACTTTTTAATTTTGTAACAATTCCAAAAGGACCATTCCTTCACATTTCTGAGTGCTTGCAAATGCAGGACAGGAACTAAAATGTCTAAATAAAGTCTGTGATGCAAGTGAGGATGCAGTCGGCATTTTACATGCCCTTACCTGTGACAAGGGGTTGACATTTAGCCTGTATCTATATTGACCCTGTTTATAAACTACTTTATCAGTAATCAATGATGATTCACAGGAGTCTGTCCCTACCCACACATTTTCTTTTTTACAGTGAATATTAGCATGTGTAATTATCTTTTATTCTAATTGTTTTCCCTCTTGGTCATAGTGGCTCTCACCCCAAATGTTCCTGATGCTAAGAGGTTCAGAACCTGTAGCAAGTTGCAGTTTGAGTTACATGTCCACAGACCTTCCAGGGCTCAGAGGTTTTCATTCCTGCCTCTTCTTTTCTTTCTGTCCTGGGTCAGCTTGGTTATAATTTTATGTTGGCTCAATGACCACAGGATTGGCAATCACCTAATTGTCTCTGTAGCTGGCTTGAAACATGAATTTGCTCAGTGTCGTGGGCACCCAGTATTGATCAATGTTGACTGTTCGTCACTCTGGCCTCAGCACAATGAATCTCAGGAGTAATCTTATTCTCAGTCTTAAAAACAGCTCTTTTCCATTCCTGGGGGACGGACTGTCTCTCAGGACTGCAAATGAGGTTGGTAATAGAATTTCACAGCTCTCATTTTTCACATCTGCCCTTAGCCTGAAAGGTGGGTGAATGAATTTGCAAGATCCACTGGCCATATGTTCCTGTTTACCAAGCATACGGTTGTTGTCTACTAACTAGGCTTCATGTATGTTCCTTCCCTCCTGGGTAGGAAAGCCTGCCTACTTGAATACATCATCTACCATAGCATAGCAAGACCTTTAGAATGGGGTAGATAGAAGATTGAGGCTACCTTTCTCTGACTGATGCTCTGGGCAGTGCCATGCCTGGTAATAATGCATAAAGGCCTGTACTGGATGTGTCAGGCCAATTATTGGATATATTACAAGATAATAAAAAGGAATAGATTCAGAAAAGTCAGGTTGACATCTTCAAACTGGTCATGATCCGAAACATAGTTAGTTCCCACATCATCTAGCTAGCAACCTGGTGCATTTTACATCTTGATATTCTTTGAAGATGTTGGTGAACACAACAAAGATAGGAAAGCTTAAAGGGCCATCTCAGTGTGGCATTGGTCATCCCAAGAGAAAAATTAGTTCATGTGTTAGCTTTTCGACCAAATTAATTACGAAACCAGGAAATAGATGTGCTGAAAATGCAGCAATGGCTGACAGTGTAAAATGGAATCACTGGTTGTGTGGATGGTCCTTTCTATATACCTGCTATATGCCTAAACACCACTATAAGCCTCGCCTCAGAAATTAGATCTCAAGAGTCAACAAGAGAAACTAAGTCATTGGCTTGATTGCTGACTTACAACAAATCAGTCACTAGTTATTGCCACCTTTCTTGACTCACATGCTCAAGGGGAGTAAAAAAAAAAACATACTTTGTGGCTTCTGATTTCTTTGATTGATGGCAGGGAGTACAACCCAAAGGATTACAATGGCAATGAATAATTTCAGCATCAAACTGTTAAGGAATTCTTGAGATTCTAGGTTTTACAGAGCTCTAAACAGCTTCTATGTTACAATCCCATCTATAAATTTTGATTCCACTTAAACACTTGCTGAAATACCATAGCTGTAACTCTTCACAGCAGCCCCAAGGAAGACTTGCTGGTCACCCATGCCTCTGGTGCAAGAGCATGGCCCAGTTGTTTTATTTAAACTTTACAGTTGTTTGATTTAAACCTCACAGCATCACCAGCCCCCAAGTATCCAAGTAGTATAAGAGATGATATTTTTGTTTTGTGTGGTACTGAAACCAGGCTTGCATTACATTAAGATTATACTTACTTTGATTTTTACCACGAGCCCCTATGTGCTTTTTGAATTTGGAAAATTCAAATGAGCTTCCATTTGTCTGAGAGTCCAAATTACATAACGATGCTGGCTTCTTATTCAAAATTAAATCAACTCTGGAGAACTATTATTCTTTAATGGCATCTTCACTCTGTAGCAAGAGTTAATATTCAGTTATTGCCAGTTACATGTCTAGTAGTTGGCTTGGGAAATGACCCAGGGTAATTAATTTCAATTCCTCTCTCTCATTTAAGTCCTTAATTCAGTGTCAGGTTGAATATGTGGTTTTTTGAAGTTTGGCATTAGTTGCCTTTGAGCTTGGCCTTGCCACATTGCTGAGTCATCACAGCAAATAGTTATAAACATCTTCTGTGATACTCACCATTTTCCCAGCAGAATTTATCCGTTGCTATCACGACCACATTACAGCTTATTATATTTTATCTGTAGATCTACCCTGATGACATTGATATAGATATGGTGTTATTCCAGTCATATTTCTTGGCTCTTTTCTTTACATAAATATCTGAAGGCATATTTTATGTGTATTTGTACATTCTGAAAGTGTAGTTTCAAAGACTAAAAAAAGGGCCTGAGGTTTGCTCATTCTTATTAGAATTGATTCATGAATCTGACTTTCTGTCATATAAGACAGAGGGTTAAGATCCCATAGGGAATATTCATATGCATGGCTGTATAAAATTAAACAACCGAAGGGATGTTATAATCTAGCTTACCTTAGGATGTTCCTTCATTAGCTGGTTCTGACTTTTATAAAGACAACTTGACACTTGAATTCAAATCCTTCTGTTGCTTATGTAGAAGTGTAATTTGGGGCAGGTCATTTGAATGCCCCTTGTAATTATCTACTCCTTCATCACACAAAAATGATAAACTATTTTTTTGTGAGATAATTAGAGGAGAAAGTGATATTCAAGTCACTGTGCAAATGTTAGCTGTTATGTCTGATATTAGTTAATGAACTATAAAAAGAGTACTTTCTTTAGAGGTATATTCATTCATTAATGTGTTAATTAGATCAGGGTTTATTGGTCACCAACTCTATTCTAGATTCATGGAGAAAAGACACAAGTGCTATTCACCTCTCTTTACTCAATTCTGGTGACACTAACCCCATTGTGACCTCACAGTAGAGACTTCTTTGAGCAGCTACTCAATACGTTTCATTGTAACTATTCTTTACATACATAAAAACAATTTTCATTTACATTACAATATAAGCCAACGATATTAAATCTATTAGACTTATTGGACTTATGCTTACATGTTAATGTTTACTATTTAAAGATAAAGTCACTAAACGTATGACAAAATCTACCATACAAAGTCTGTTACACCTGTTCCACTCCAGACACTGGAAAGATCAAAAGAGAAAAATCACCATAACTGAGCAGTTTACAACTCAGATCCTGGAATCCTTAAATTATCTTGGATGGCATGCTGGTATTTGTGACAAGCCATAGCTGAACATCAGTGCTCTTTTTTTACTGTAGGGACACTGAAGAGCCCTGCTATGTTGGGACGATTATAGGAACACCCTTTATATTCCCCCTGGACAGGCAGAGGGATTGGGCACCCCTGGTTTAATCCTATGGCTCAGCAATGGGCCAGCAAGCACTAAGGCACTCTATCTACAGGGCAAACTGTCAACAGCAGTTCAATATACATTTCTTGTGTAAAGCAGAAGCTTCAAGGACCGCGATACCTGATGGTCAATAATGGACTTCATGATGGCTCTCAATTATGGTGACCACAGCAGTCAATCAGACAGACCCAGGTCTGAGAGGGTGGAAGAGTTATGAGTGAAGTAATGCCGTGGTGATGTCCTGTTTGTCACGATGGAAAAGGTCACACTTACGTGCTCAATCCCCATTTACTTTGTATTCTAGGATAGAGGTCAGGAAGACTATATCCCATCTGCCTATACAGCTGTGGTGTGTTGAAAGACCCCTGGACTTAAAGTAAGAAGATCTGGGTTTGAGTCTCAGTCTGTCACTTATTTTTCTGTGTGACCTTAGGCAAGTCACTTCACTGATCTGAATTTCAATTGACTTTTCTGTCCGTGGGAGCGTAGTATCCGTCTCATGGGGTTTCTGTGAGAAGTCAGTGAGATGGTGCATGTGGAGGACGTTTTGGCTGGTATGGTTCTCAGAGGCACAGTGGAGACCAGAATATGACTCTCTTCATCTTTTGACAGGTATGAATCCAATGGCTTAAGAACCCAACAAAACGCATCCATAAATATGCAACTGCCTTCAAGAGAAACAAACCCCTATTTTAATAGCTTGGATCAAAAGGACCTAATGGGTTATTCATCCCCAAGGGCCAACTCTGTGCCCATCATCCCTTCGGTGGGTCTAGAAGAAACCTGCATGCAAATGCCAGGGATTTCTGAAGTCAAAAGCATTAAATGGTGCAAAAACTCCTATTCTGCTGACATCGTCAATGCGAGTATTCCAGTCAGCGATTGTCTTCTAGAAGAACAACAGGAAGTGAAGATATTGCTAGAGACTGTGCAGGAACAGATCCGGATTCTGACTGATGCCAGACGGTCAGAAGACTATGAACTGGCCAGCGTGGAAACTGAGGACAGTGCGAGTGAAAACACAGCCTTTCTTCCCCTGAGTCCCACGGCCAAATCAGAACGAGAGGCACAATTTGTCTTAAGAAATGAAATACAAAGAGACTCTGTGTTAACCAAGTGACTCGAGATGTAGGAATCTGTGCATTCTCTGCTTTGCTCAACAGGAAAGAGAGGAAATTAAATACAAATTATTTATATGCATTAATTTAAGAGCATCTACTTAGAAAAAAAACCAAATAGTCTGCCGCCCTCATATCATAGTGTTTTTTAACAAAATATTTTTTTAAAGGGAAAGAAACGTTTCAGGAAGGATAAAGCTTACCACTGAAGCTTTTGGGGGAGGATTCTGAATCCACTTTCAGTTAGCCCCAACACTGTCCTCTTTGGCTCTTGGAAGATTTGGCCAATTCCAACCTCTGGTCCCATAGTGCCAGTATCTGTATGGAAAAGAAACTGGTGTTCACCTAGCTTCAAAGACATGTGCTATATCCCAATAGAGGATTTGCCAGTGAGCAGGTAGCTCTGGTCATTTGGCTCTTGAGTTCCAACCCCTAAATTTCTATTCATCAATGCTCTCACCACAGTTTGTCACGTCAAGGAGTGGAGTGCTTTGTATTTGATTTTTAAAGACTGGTGGGAAAACACGAACAGGAAGAAAGATGGAAAATAGGAGTAACCTGGTTAATCTTAGCTACTCTCATGTGCTATCTTTCTCTGACATTTGAAAGCACAGAACCTCAGAGCGAGATGGGAAACTATTATAGGAGAAGAGATAAAAAAAACAAAAACACAAATGACAATGTTGTGCCACTAAAATTATGCTAATAGAAATGTTTTTTCTTGGAAAGTGTTTAGAAGCTCTGAAAGGGCACCTCTCAGTGTGTGTGTGTGTGTGTGTGTGTGTGTGTGTGTGTGTGTGTGTGTACCTGTGTGCATAGGTATGAGCTTGTGAGTGTGTGGACTTGCTCACCCAAGGACATATGCTGTATGCACATGTGTTCCTTGTACGTATGGGTGTGCATGTGTGTGCATATTAAAGCTTGCAAAAATTTGTTCTCAAACATCAGGGAATCGAATATTCAAAAGAAATTTTCCCTCTTAAATCTTTTCACTTTAAAACTTTCCATTAAATAGAAAGTTGGTTAGAGAGTTCTTGAACCAAGGTAACTTGCATGGTGGGGGTCTTACAAAAACTCGTGACGAGGTCTAGACCCTTTTCTGATGTGAATACTTTTTAAAAGAACAGTCTTTGGGTTATTGATATCAGTATCACAAAGCAAATTAATGGAAGATGTGTTTATTTTGAATCTTTTACTTAAATTACTGACACAAGCCAATTATCAAATTAACAGGTGACCATTTTAATTTCCTGTCATCCTCATTGCTACTTTACAGTAAGTTTGCTCTATGTAGACAGAGGCTCTAGCTTCTCTGTTTAACATGGAAGGAATAAATTGTTGAAAATCACAAATCCCAGACTATTCAGTTCACAAGCAATGCCCCCCAAACAATAAATTGTGTTGTATGTTCATTTGGAATAAAGCAATATTTTTACCACTGCGAAGGTGAACTGAAAACCTCCTGAAGATGTGTCTGTTTTTATTTTCCCTTATTTTTTATGGGGCATTCAAGGAAACTAGTGTTCCCATATCCAGTCTTTATCTGATTACTGGTGGTGTTGTTATGTTTACACTGTTTAAATAAAAAGGCACAGTATTTGAAAGTACGTAAAAGATTGCTTTTACTGTAGTTTCGGGACAGCTTGGTTAAAATTTCAAGGATTTGGTTTTCATCAGAGAAAATATACAGTTCTTGCTTGAGGTAAGTTATTTCTGTTAAACACATTGCAACTTGTTATCTGCGAGCTTTCATTGATAACAGATAAAATCATCTAGGGAAAAGAGAGAGCACTAAAAACCTAATCAAAGCTGCTTAACAGGAATCTGAGGTCTCATGTTGAAAACACATTGATGGAACCCTCCATTTTATCTCAAAAAAGTTTTGTGTCATTAGTTGCCATCATAGTTTTGAATAAATCAGGAACATTGTTAATGTTTTCAAAAATTGGAGATTTTTAATGTTTTCTCGCTCAACTTAGTTTTCATTTGAACATGGTTTCTACTTAAGAACATCATAGAAGGCATTTGAAGGTCTGTAAAATCCTGAAAGTTGAGCAACCACTGAAACATTATGTTGTTTTTCACAAACAACTGTGAGACCATGCTGGTCTATTGAGGTCAACCTTGTTTATATTTTTTATTTATTTGTTTTATTTTTTCTTGAAATGTTACCTATTTTTTATCTAAAGTATCCATTTATCTACCTAGGAGGGCTGGTATTCTCAGCAACAGACTTTTTTTTAAATATATCCTTTATACCAAAAATGTATGAATGATGAACCAAGTCTCGATACAACATCTTATTTAAGTAACAGAAAGATTCTATACCATATGATTAGACAGCAAACCTTTTCCCCATATCCTTAAGATAATGAGTATCAGGCATATCTACCAGCCATGTTACAGAAAGTTTATAGATGTTGCTACTTTTTGAACACTCAAGACAAAATGCTCCATAGAAACAGTTATTTGCAGTAGTTTCTGTGGTCTGTGTCTCCTCTTGGACTCCTGCAAAGTGTCTAAGCTCAAACACACATCTTAGGTCACCAGTTGACAATTGCCCATTGTCAGGAACATTGAGGCTTCCACATTAACCTAGCCTGTTATAAACCTGGAGCCACCATTGCATTGTTCTTCGAGCTCATCTGTTTATGAAGACTTGACCATTTATACACCCTGCCTTTGAATTTACTTTATTTCTCTTGTCTCTATTATGGGAACAGATATTTGGATATTTGTAAGTAAATAAGATACATATTCATCGCTAACTGGAGACAGAGTATCACTCATTATTTTTTTTATTTAAGTCATTTCCTGTTATTTTTAATATAAAACACTTTTAAATTGATGATAGCTATTGTGGAATGCTGAAGTTCAAAATATGACCAATGTTATTATATTACTAGGGTAGAGAATAGAAATGATGTAGGCAAGTTAGTGTCTGAATTTTTCTTCTTCCTGTGTATACTAAACACTCTCTTTCAGACTCTACCCAGTATCTACCTAGCTATAAATTTAAGGTCAGTTCATCACACACACACACAATGATTCACATCAGTTTTAAGTATCAATAGAAGAGACATAGAAAGAACAGTGCTGCTCTCAGGACTTCACAAACTAGCCAGATAACACACAGACCAAAAACAGTAGAGGGCCATACAGACTTAAGAATACCCCCTCAGTTGTGAGATGAATAAGAACTATCATTTTAGAAGGGCCCTGGTGCCCAATGCTGAGGCTGCTGGTAACCAGGTCTCCACCAGAATACATCCAACACTTGCAGCCATCAACAATCCCCTATCTTGCCATATGGTGCTATAGGAAATAACGAGTCCTAACGAGTGTGTGAGGGTTTGGGGCGATTCCAGTCCTGTGAACCTGAGATCAAGTGCTAAGACACTTTTTTCAATTGAGTACATAGTATACCTAGGAACACAGCAGGTGGGGAGGGATTTTTATTTGATCTTTTGGTATCTGGGAAACATTTTATATATATAAAGAATACTTTTTATTATTATTCAATTGTATAGAATCACTACAGTGTTTTCAATGAATAGCATGTCAATGCTGTTTGTATCTTGTCTTCAGAAATTTAGTCCTCATTCCAAGGAAGACCAGTCCAAGGTTTCTAGGCTGGTTCTCAATTTTGTAAACACTCAATATGCCCTGGGAAATGAAACTTTCAAATGAGCTTTATCTTTTCCTTTTTTCATTCTTTCCCTTTTAAAGAAATACTGAGGGTGAAGGAAGACATTCCCTCTCTCATGTGTTTCCTACTGTGAATACACCCTCAATATAGATATGAATATTAAATTGGTGTGATTATTTGGGTATTCTCATGTTTGCTTCATTTGACAAATACCAAGTGATTAGCTCATGAAATTCCATGAAACATAGTGGACAGCCAAATATCAACATTTGTTTCAGACAGACATTTTCAGTTCTTTCTCTTTCTTAGCCAAATGGAAATATCCTTGGATTAGAAAATTAAAAGCAAAAAAAAAAAAAACCCTCTAAAATATATTAGATTCTCTCCAAAAATGACAATTAAATAATGGCTGTAAATGCTTACTTTATCAAAAGTGTATACTTATCACGAAAGCAGGCTTTTTTTAAAATTAAGTATACTTCTAACAATGTTTTTGACCTATGGTAAAACTGAACTCTATTAAGGGCAGAGTGTGTGGATATGACAAGGAGGTCTATTAATAATGTTAGAAACCTCAGTGAAATCAGTAACAACGTTATCACATGGACTTGGTAAAACAGAGAGCAAGCTTCTTGTCCTTTGATGATTGTCTGTCATGAATACCTGTACTGATTGCATGTGTATTGTTGCCAATGCGAGGGCCGTGTGAAAAGAAGCAATCTTGTACTGTTGGAAATAAGTTAGACGTGCATCTCTGTGAAAGCTTTTAACTTACATCTGTAAGAGCAATCTCTTGACCTCATCGCTACATAACGGATATGGTCTACTTTATCTTTGATTTTTTTTCCTTTCTAGTCAACCACCTTGTATGTAGTCATTCTAATCCCAATTTTGACTGGTCAACTTACATGTTCATTCAACACTGTTCTGTAAGTACTCCGTGCCCATAAATCTATCTCATAAAGTCTTGTAAGAGTTGAAACCTATAGAACATTTGTAATAACATGTGCTATCGAGTAAAAGGATTTGTTGCTATGGGTAAATTTAAGGTAAATTTACCGAGGTCAGGTGATGGATGAAGACAGGATAACTGAGAAGTAGCTGACTCTACAGCTTGAAATTGAAAGGTCACTCTTTGCTTTATATTTGTGCTAAAGAGAATCTGAGAGTTTATCAAAAGTCCAGTAGCACTGCTCCACAGCAGGCATCAGACCTTGACTATACCCTTTAGCTACAGAAGCAGTAGTGAGCCTCATTTGGTACAAAACGTGAACGATATATAGATATACAGACAGGTGCTCTCCAACAATTGCATCTCAGGTTTTTTGTTTATTTTTCTTGAGAAAGGTCCCTGCCCTGTCACTCAGGCTATTAGTGAGCACACAATCTTCCTCCCTCAGTTTAGTGAATTTGGTTATAGACGTTTGCTATTAACCCTGGTTCAACTCAAACCTTTTAACATAAATCCTAC